GAATTGAGTCCTGAATATGCCTCTTCCTTTCCCTCCCCCGCCCCGTTCCTGTCTGTGTTTTGAGAAGCTCTGAGCCAGAGAGGGCTGTGCTGCAGATTTCAGACAGCTCTGGGCCTGAATTCTTGCCCTTAAAATATTCAAAAGTTGTCCTTCCCAGGATCAGTGCAAGAGTCAGCATCCATCCATCCCCCTTTTGGAGAACTGCAGTTTTCCTGGTGCGGTTGGTTTCGCCCCCTTTTGGAAGAGAAAATGAATCGGGGCCGTAGGAGGAGAAGAAGGCTGCCCTGCCTCCTCCCACCTCTTCTCTCTCCAAAGAGATGAATCATATTCCCACAATTGCAATTAAATTTTCTGCTCTCACAGAATTCTGGGGCAGTGAGCAAAACAGTGACGTCCGATCTTGGGTCAAGAGGGGAGGGAGCGTCCCGTTTCCCCCCCCCCCAATCTCCTCCTGGCAGTTGCCTGTCATTAGGCTTTTCTTCAAAAGTGATTCAAGACCATACTTTTGAGGCTGGGTGAACAGACCGACCATCTTCGGGAAGTAGCTTAGAAAATCCAATTTGGGCAAGCCGTTTATTGTTTATTTTTTAAAATACAATTATTATTTTGTTTCCTTTTTTACCGGATGGTCTTCTTCCCTCCATCTCATCCTTCGGCAGCTGCATTTTCTTTTCGAGTTGAGTTGCCAACTCAGTTTTTATTGGAATTGGAACTTTTTGAGCGCTAGTCTTGTCTCGTCTTCTTTTCTTTCTTCTTTTGGTGGGGCCTGTTTGAGACATCCTGGCTTTGGCTGTTTCTCCCCATCTTCTCTTTTTCTGGTTGCAAAGTCTCTTCTTCTCTTAAAAAAAAAAAAGAACACAGAGAGACTTGAGAACGTTCAGCGGGGAGAAGTTTCAAAGAAGACTTGCTGTTCTGTTGTTGTTTTTTTAAATAAACAACTTTTTTGCACGGCTACCCATCTCCTGCGTCTCCATCCTGCTTACCGGTCTTCCTTTCCATACAAGTCACTCTGTTCCAAGAAGGTTTTTTTTTTTAAATCAACCAGCTGGAGTGCTGCTGGGCTCTGTTTTCTTCCTGGGAAGCGAGCTGGCTGGACTCTTGCAATTCAGAGAGGGATCGCTCCAAAGCACAAGGACCCTCGGCCAAGACATCCGGGAGAGGCTATCTGGACCGCTTGATCCTCTCTTAGGAGTGAATGGTTGACTTGGCTCTTCTCTGCTGCTCCTTTTCTCGGACAAAATGTACGAGCGGCACAAGAGACGATACAGCCTGTGCGAGATTTCCAAAGAAGAGAGGGCTGTAGAAGTGGTGCTACTGAAGGTATGGCATCGCTTGTATCTTCGGCTGAGCTGCACCTCCATTTGTATCCCTCCTTTAAGGTGATCGGGGATCAGATCCTGGGTGGTCTTTCCCCCCCCTTTCTTCCTTTTTTTCTTGTGAAGGGAGTTCTTTGATTCTCATCAGGAATTGGTCTCTTTTCCAAGGACAGGATTTGAAAGAGAGAGTAGCAGAGTGATAGCTGAGACAAGACTAACAGAGGTGGGTTTCAGCAGGTTCTGACCAGTTCTGGAGAACCGGTAGCGGAAATTTTGAGTAGTTCGGAGAACTGGTAGTAAAAATTCTGACTGGCCCCACCCCCATCTATTCTCTGCCTCCAGAGACCCAGATGATTGGGAGGAAATGGGGATTTTGCAGTAACCCTCCCCTGGATTGGGGATGGAATGGAGATTTTACAGGATCCTTCCTCTGGAGTGGGGTGGGAATGGAGATTTTACAGTATCCTTCCCCTGGAGTGGGGAGGAATTGGGGGTTTTGCAGTAACTTTCCCCTGAATTGGGATGGGAATGGAGATTTTACAGTATCTTTCTCCTGGAGTGGGGATGGAATGAAGATTTTACAATATCCTTCCCCTGCCATGCCCACCAAGCCACACCCACAGAACTGGTAGTAAAAAAATTTGAAACCCACCACTGAAGACTACCCATGGTTACTACTTAGAGGCATGTTCTTTGTAAGATACCCAAGGACTTCTTCGGTGTAGGATTTTTCAGTAGACAAAGAAAGCATTTGCTACATTTGTGTGGGGTTAGCGGTCCTATGCATAGGAGGTCTGGTGCAAAAACACTTACAATGACGATGATAAATTTCATACTTTTTAAAAAAAAGTTTATGGTTCCGGCGGGACATATATTATGCTTCGCGCATTCTTCATGGTCAGTTGGCATCGTTTTCTCATACTAGCTAAGTTTGCAGTTGGATTCGGCTAATATTTTAATTAGAAAATTGCTTAGCCGTATATATATATGTATATGTATATACACACCTGCTCTCTCTCCTGGCCCCAAAGTTTTCAGTCTGTGTTTTTATTTGACTCCCCTCTCCCTTCTCCTCATTGAAATCTGGAGTTAGTTGTGCCTTTAAATAGGGAGTGTGGGGGCGGATACCTCTCTTGGCTAACGGTCCCTGGCATTTTTCCACTCTCCCCCCTTTCCCCACACGGACGCTTTCCAAGCTAAAATTAGTAGCTGCTCCACCAAACAGTAAGGTGGCAGTCTGAGAATGTTTTGTCACTCTTAAGAGCTTGACTTTCCTGGCAGAGAAAGAGGCAGTTGAAAGAAAGCAGCCAGCGGAATGGCTCACAAGAGTCTGGCTTGGATGTATGAATTCAGAGAAATGGGGAATAGTCTAAAATGGAGGCTGCGAGGGGAGAGGTTATATACATCGTTTCCTAGATCTTTTTTGAACTGGAATAGCCAGTTTCAAATGGAATTTAATGAAAGGAAGCAGTGCCGAACCCAAAGATTGGTTCATCGGTTGCATTATACGTAAAACATGGAATATAGAATCATAGAGCTGGAAGGGACCTTGGAGGTCCTCTAGTCCAACCCCTGCTCAAGGCAGGAGACATTATACCTTTTTGCTCTTTTGTTTTACTGGACAGTCACTTGTCTGGAATGGTACAGGGTCTTCTGCTTGAGCAGGGGGTTGGACTAGAAGATCTCCAAGATCCCTTCCAATTCTTTTCTTCTGTTATTCACTCTTCTGGTCTGCTTTAACTGCTGAATGATGGAGGAAACCTGGGTGCTGAAGAGCTGTCAGAACAAGATATATGCTTATAGTAAAACTGGATGGGAACATGATTCTTTTCCCTATTATGATCTCTTCCTATGGGACCCGTAATTGCCACTGTCCTGTTTGCACACTATCAGTTCATATGTTGCATTAAATCATAATGCAGTTTATTGCAAATAGGTGAACCCAGCTATTATGGTTTGCAAACCATGGTTCATGGCTCGGTATCGTATGTGAATGCAGCCACTGTGGCTTGTTTAAAACTGTTAGATTATGCAGGTTTAGACGATTGTACGAATGCAGCCCGTAGGTTTGTAACCAGGTTTATGAAACATGTTGTGCTGGAAGTCAAAACTTGGAATTGGGGGACATAGTGCAATGCAGATGCAGCTTTTGACAAAACAGGAAAAAAAGCATGTCCTTTGCACGCTGGAAGCTAAATTAAAACATGATTAAAGGAAATGTGAAACCCCAGGGTTTAAAAAGGAAACGAACGTTAAAAATAATCTTGTTTCCCTCTCCCCACCCCCGGTCCGTTTTGGTGTCATTACTCGCTATAACTGTATTCAGAAGTTTGAATCCCGTAAAGGACTTGATTCTTGGCAGGGAGGTATGGACTGAGGTGATCCAGGACAGACTGGAGCAGAGCGCTAAAGCAGTAGCTGGTCTCCAGGTTAAACCATAGCAGGTGATAGTAAAGACTTCAGGGTTCTGCGGTCCAAGCAGGTGTAAGTCAAGTTGGAGCTGCATTTGGCCTTTGAAAAGCTCTGCCTTCTCCAGAGATTGATCCGATGTTGTGATTTGCAAGTGTGACATGGAGAGGGTATGGGGGGCGGGGGGAAAGAACAGATCGTATACTTGTTTTGATTCTGTACCATCAAGTCATTGTTGAGTCTTGGTGACATACATACATATTTTCAGGATGATATGTCCCTAACCTGGTCTCTTGGTAGTGTATTCATCATCAATGTAGCAATAGCAACAGTAATAGCACTTATATACCGCTTTACAGTGCTTTACAGCCTTCTCTAAGTGGTTTACAGAGTCAGCATATGGTCCCCAAGAATCTGGGTCCTCATTTTACCGACCTCAGAAGGATGGAAGGCTGAGTCAACCTTGAGCCTGATGAGATTTGAACTGTCAAATTGCAGGCAGCCGGCAGTCAGCAGAAGTAGCCTGCAGTACTGCACGCTAACTATTGCGCCACCGTGGTAACTCAGTTCATCCACCTGGCTGTTGGTTGTCTAATTCCATCTTTCTTTTCTCCCTCCCTCCCTGTTCCTCCATCTGTTCCTCCCTCCCCCCTTCCCTCTCTTCCCCTCCCTACCCCTCTCACTCTCCCTTCCTTCCTTCCTTCCTTCCTTCCTTCCTTCCTTCCTTCCTTCCTTCCTTCCTTCCTTCCTTCCTCCCTCCCTCCCTCCCTCCCTCCCTCCCTCCCTCCCTCCCTCTCCAAAGAGTTAGGTTTCTACATAATGTGTCTGAATGAAATGTGTAACAGAACAGGAATCGTATTGATTCTGCTTTTAATTCAGCATAAAGGAAATGAAGCAAATATCAGTGTTTGTCCTGAGCTTCCCTATCACTTTTTGGAACACAAGATTAATATGCCATGTTAAAAAAAAAAAAAACCAACCCAATTCTATTTACTTGATTCGTTGGAAGTTTGTGAAGTCTGACCCAGTTGAGATAAGAGTTCATTAATTTATTCCATTAATCAAATGTTGATGGCCACTCAATTCACGGTAAGTGGAAAACAATCCAATAAAACAGTAAAATAAATAAAACATGGCCTAAAATCATGATATACCGTAATAATTATTACAAGTATTCAAAACAATAAAAACAGAACTAAAACAGAAAAAGAGAATACAGAGAGGCTGCATGGAAAGATTCCCATTAATTTGTCACCTCCTCTCCCTTTATCTTAGATTAACCGTGACAACTGGTGCCCTGTTGAACCTTCTCCAGATTCCTTATTGTTGGAGCCGAAGCATCCTTGCAACTCTGCAGGTAAGAGAAACAGTTTTTCTTTGACGTATGGAAATAGAGGAGGGCTGTGCCGTTCCCGAATCTTATATTTGGGAAGCTGTACAACGCGGATCTTTTTGCCAGGTTGCAGTAGCCTCAGCTACCAAGTACTGTCCAGTGCAGGATGTCAAAAAAACCAAGAGTGTTGTGTTTGAGGAATGCAGGCACACACAACATCTGAATTAGGTTGAGGAAGCTTTCGGTGAGACTTCTTGGACAGCCCAATCAAGGTTCTCCAATATAACGCCTTTCAGATAACTTTGGACTCCCAACCCTCTAGACTCCTATCCATCCTGTGATAATGTGCGATATCCTAAGAGTATCAGGTAGGGCCAAAGCTGGGTTATAAAATGCTATCACTGAAAGATAGCTGTGCAAATCACAATTCTTGTTTTAAAAACTTCCTAGTACCATGGAGATCAGTGACAGCTTTGGTTCACCCTTCTGCTGCTCCCGTATTTCCACCAATCTCTTGCTTACCTTCTGCCTACAGAGGCAGAATGGGCAGCCTTGGTGGGGTAAGGGCTGGGAGACTTAAAAGAAAAATAAATCTCTTTTTTCGATGCCACCATCACTTTAGAAACGTCACTACATGAATGATCATAAGTCGAGGACTACTTGTAGAGAAAGGTAAAGGTTTCCACTGTCCGGTCGTCTCTCTTGTCTCAGAGAGAGCAAATCACCAGGGATGGAAGTGTTGGGGCATCGTCTCTAGGAACATCAGTGGAGACTCCGGATGTGGCAACATGCCAAGCTCAAAATGATGTGTGATCCAAGATCAGAACAAAACAATTCTTTCTTTTTCAATTTATGTTCTGAGTGTTGTAGCCAGGGGAATATTCTGAACGTTGAAACAAAGCTTCCTCCCTCGTTTTCATTTTAAAGCCAGAAAGGAAGATTGAGATTATAATCCAAGATGAGTCTTTTTTTTTTTTATAAAAAAAAGTTTTTTTTATTTTTTAGACAAACAAACATTTAATACATCAGTTATTCCTTCCCTATGCCATCTCGGTATTATCTTCCAAAGTTCTTCTTCTATAAGTTTTTCCTGTCTTGATCCTTATCCAGTCCATTATACCAATTCATCGCTAAAATAATATTCTTTTTTTAAACACAACACAACACAACATACAAAACACAAACACATGATATGCGTTTCTTTTTACATATCAGTTCCTCTTACTTTCTACTATATACATTCCCCATTTTTCCCATCCTCTATTATCATTAACTAAAATAATATTCTAATCATCACATTTTTATACATAGTTATAAAGTTAGTCATTTATATCTCTTTTCCAACCAATGATAAAAATAATTCCATATCTTAAAATATTCTAACTCTTCTCTATCCTTAATCATCAAGAGTTAATCTATTCATTTCTGCACAATCTAAAAAATTTTTTATTACTTCTTCTTCCGAAGGTATTTTCTCTACTTTCCAATTTTGTGCATTAAGATGAGTCTTGACTGCCAGAAAATTGATGAGGAGAATGATGAAAGAAATTTAAATCCCAAGACCATCCCAAAGGTGCTTTTTCCAAGGCAATGGACTTTCTCGGGGGGTTGTTTCACTTTGCAAACATTTCACTTCTCATCCAAGAAGCTTCTTCAGTTCTTGGATGATTGATTCAGTTCTCAGCTTCTTGGATGAGAAGTGAAACATTTTCAAAGGAAAAAACCCAAGAAAGTCCATTTGCGTTTTGGGGAAAAAAAGCACCTTTGGGACAACCATGACCTGGATGATTGAGAATCTCCATAGACATTTAAATTACTGTGCCCTTCTTACCAAAATGTATGTGTTAATATTAGACAGTCATTGCTGAGAGAGTTGATTTTCCATGTGTTGGATCTTTAGTTCCTCAGTTTTTTCAGGCAAGATAACTCCAAATTCTGGGATTTGCATCCCAGCACATCTGGAAGGCACCTATTTCAGGAAAGCAGGTCTATTTTCCATCCTTCCCAGCCAGAGAATTAAGTATGATGCTACTTTGGACACCAAAGAAAACCATGAGCATCATTTTGATTGGTTTGTGAATGTGTGAGAATGAGAGAGACTGGAGGAAAATGAATATTGATCCAGAAATATCAAATCTGTTTTGCTAGTCAGAAAGGCATGAGAATAGCTTTAAATTATAGCTCAGAACATCAGGATTGGATGCACTGGTTGCCTTCCAGATGTGCCTTAAAATAAGATGAAGATGATGATCCATGACAGAGTCTTAGTGGTATATAATTCGTTTTGAAGACTTCCTCATATTAGAAAAGGCAGAAATTAGATAAGAAAGAATGAAGTCAGCAAGATATTCTAGCCGGAGTGGCACAACCTCTAGGACTAAACTTCGTGTTGTTTCCCATGTGGATCATGGGAGGTTTTTAAGATGAGATTGGACAACCATTTGTCTGAAATGTTATCGGGTCTCGTGCTTGAGCTGGGGGCTGGACTAGAAAACCTCCAAGGTCCCTTCCATCTCTATTCTGATTGATTGGTTACCGGACTATAATATTTAGTTTCCAGTAAGGGAGATATTATTAAAAACATTGGAACCATGATCTTAATGTCCATCAATGTCCATTAAATTAAATATAAGGTGTTTTAGGGTCTCTATTTACTTATTTGTCCTCCACTACCTACTCTTGGGGAGTAAAATCCCTAAATGATGCTCAAAATTTAGGTATTGCATTTTTCGTTAAAAAGAAAAAAAAGTTAGCCCTCTCTATAATCTAATACTTCGTCTGCTGACTTGGTTCCTTCTTACGAGGGAGATTTTAAAAATGTATGCAATTCGTATTTTGCTATGGTAAATTCCACGTGAAGATTTATCCTAAAAGCTTTATTTATAACGATACTGATAATGAAAGCTGGCAGGGTGACTTTGGGCCAGTCACTCTCAGCCTAGGATGTCATGCTTCGATGACAAGCTGGTTGGTCAGTTTCTGTTGCAACCAATGGATTGACATTCAGTTGATCTGGAAAAAAAAACCAACCCAGATTCTGCATTCGTGAGAAAAATCCTGACTCTTCTACCATTCTGTAATTTTCCATCCATCCATCCATCCCTCCATCCCTCCCTCCCTCCCTCCCTCCCTCCCTCCCTCCCTCCCTCCTTCCTTCCATCCATCCATCCATCCATCCATCCATCCATCCATCCACCCCTCGCTCTCAAAGAATATAAAAACTAACAAACTAGCAAAGACTAAAAGTAATAAAGAAAGAAATGAGAAAGAAAAAGACACAAATGCAGAAATGAATACAAAGAAAGAGCTTGCAATTTCCTTTGCAGCAAATATAAGTACAGATATAAAGTTATCTGTTAGTTTATGAATATAAGAAAATAGCTCTTTTTTTCCCCTCTGTTTTTTTCCCCCCAATCATCAAAACCACAAATCATCAGCGCACTTTTTTTTTTTTTTTGAGTTTCATGCAAAATGTCTTTAAGGGGTTTCAAGTAAGCCATAAATGTAGGTATTATTTTTTTTCTGTGATCAAAGAATCTGATTTAGCCATCTTTGCAAGTTCCATCATCTAATCATCAAAATTACAAACCGCAAGTACATTTTTTTCCAGACTCGTGCAGAAAGTCCATAAGTCAGCCATAAATCTAGAAACTGGGATGGCTAAATTAATCTTTACAAGTTCCATCATCTCCACCAACCCTTCCTCCATTGTAGGTAGGATCAAACGTTTCCATGTTTGAGCCTAGAATAACGTGTTGTCATTTAACTTCTTAATTCTGCTTAATGTTCAAGCCAGGGAGATGCTTTCTACTTGCTCCATGTCCAATTTCCACCCTGATCCCTTAATCGTACCTTTAAAAACTCCATGGTTTCCTTTCTGTTTCTTTAGAAGGAGTGGTTATAGAGAGGTCAGTCCATAAATCAGATTTTTCTGGAAGTTAATGGCATCTCTGTTGGGAACTTGTCATTCTTCCAGCTTTGTTGTAGTGGCATTGGTGCCTCTGGAGATTTATCAGGCCATCAGGAGAGGTGAAAATAATCTTGGATTGCACAATGTGAGCACACGTAGAACACAACAAATGTAAACAGAAAAATAAATCATGTTTCCCTAGAAAGAAGAGGGAAGGTTTCCAAGAGTTCAGAAAACCCTCAGTTGTTACAGGATAGCTATCCACCTAATATTCTTCTTGTTGATGACATTTCACGTTTTCTTCCTTCTTGAGTCTTTTTATTTCTCACTTTTCCTTCATTTTATATCATAACTGGTTCTCCCAGGCCAGTAACGCTTCTCTTCAAACTGGGGCTGTTTCATATGCTTATGGTTCTTCAACTATGAAAGGATGACTTGGCCTATGTTGCTTGGACCTTCTTGCATGCTAGGCTAAGAGGAAGCCAGGATCGGTTCTAAGAATTTCCTGATCCTAGTTTGCTGAGCAAACTGAAATTTAAAAGAAATCACAGCTCCCCTGTTAACCTGGATCTAGGATTTGTTCTATCCTGAAGAAAGGAAAGGAAAGGAAAGGAAAGAAGGAAAGGAAAGGAAAGGAAAGGAAAGGAAAGGAAAGGAAAGGAAAGGAAAGGAAAGGAAAGGAGGAAGAAAGGAAAGGGAGAAATACTAGCCATTTGCTGTTCCATGTTCTCTTAGCAAAATACACCCACAAAAGTTGTTATGGCTGAACCAGGCCAAGATCAGATGCAACTAGTTGTGTGTGTAGTTGTGTGCAGAGGGGGCTGTTTTGAGGGACTTAAGCTCACATACTCCTACCTTTAGATTAGGCGATTTTAAGGTAATTAGAGGGGAGAGAAAACATGGAAGATGTGTTGCCAAATTTGCTGTGCATTTGCAGCTCAGCAATTGATTAATTTTTCTGGAATTAGTGCTGCCCAGTGGCCAATCTGGAACTTCCTTTGTGATTTTTCCATTTCAGAGTTTTGTTAGTGTTCCTTTTTCCCTCTTTCGGTACAGAGCTGGCTGGCCCTTCAGACTGGAATGCGGTGGGATATGCTCTGTTAAATTGCCAGCTGGATCAGTGCGATTTCTGGCTTTTCTGTCTTCCCTCTCTCGCTCCCTCCCTTTTTTAAATTCTCTCACCTTCTTCAATTTATGGAAAAGAAATAGAGGCCAATGAGGATGGAGAAGGTATGGGGAAAGGAGTCACACCTGTTAAAACAGAAAAAAATATATTTTGCGTAATGGTAGCTACTTTGTGGAATATTAGCCATTCCCAGATCGGATGCCTCTTCCATTCTCTTTAACATTATACAACCTAGAGTTTCCAGGGGTGGGATTAAAAAATGTTAGCAACCGGGTCTCTGCCCAGTTGCTGGGTGGACGTTTCCGACTTCCGTAACTTCCGGGAGGCCCATTTTTCACCCTCCCCAAGCTCTGGAGGCTTTGTTTGAGCCTCTGGGAGGGCAAAAACAGCCTCCCCCAGGCTCCAGAGGCCCTTTGGAGGCTGGAAACGGGCCCATTTCCAGACTTCCAGGAGGCCTGTTTTTCGCCCTCCCAGAGCCTCTGCGCAGGTGCTGCATTTACCTGGCATCCAAAATGGGCCACGTGGAGACTCCTGGGAGGGCCGGGAAGGGCCAGCCAGTCCTTGCAACTACCGGTTTGGCGAAAATTAGCATCTGGTTTGCCTGAATCGGTCCGAACCGGATGAATCTCACCCCTGAATATTTTTCAACCTTAGCAATTTGAAGATATGTGGACTTCAACTTCCAGAATTCTCCAGCTGCCATCCTGGGTAGGGAAGAATTCTAGGAGTTGGAAGTCAATATTCTTCAAGCTGCCAAGGTTGAGAAACGGTGGTATATCCATTGCAGACAATTGATTCTTGCAAAAGTTTCATAATAGACTACCTGAAATCATTGAGGCCAAAGTCTTGATGAAAAAAGAATTAGTCTTCTTGATTTGATAAAAAAAAAAATCTGCTTGTCCTGATCTTAGAAATGGATAGTAACCATGCAAAACTTTAGGCATCTGAGAAAACTTTTCTCAACTAACAGATTTTATTAGATCTTAGAATAACAGAGTTGGAAGGGACCTTGGAGGTCTTCTAGTCCAACCCCCTGCTTAGGCAGGAAACTCTACACCACTTCAGACAAATGGTTATCCAACATCGTCTTAAAAACTTCCAGTTTTGGAGCATTTACAACTTCTGGAGGCAAGCTGTTCCACTGATGAATTGTTCTAACTGTCAGGAAATCCCTCCTTAGTTCTAGGTTGCTTCTCTCCTTGATTATTTCCATCCATTCCTTCTTATTAAAAGGCATGTTTTTATGAGTTGCAGCTCATCACGTCATCAGATGTATAGGATGGCTCTTGATTTCGGTGAACAGTTTCTAGGAGTTCCACAAGAGATTAAGATTTAAAAACAACAAAAACAACTCATTGTTTCTTGAACTTTGCATACCATGTGATCTAGCGCCCACAGAGGTGGGAATTTTTACCTGCCACAATTCCAGCTACTGGCTTGTCATTTTTCTCTTGTTAAAAATGTGTAAAACGTGGGTGGTAAATGTTAGAGATTAAGCATATGGTGAAGGATCCATATTTCTTGCATTTTTTTAATGCAGGCGGTTCCTTGAGACCTGAAAATTATTTCAAGAGTTCTGTCCAAAAAGGTTGAGAAAAGATGGACAGTTGTAGGATTTAAATTGTCAATGAAGGGAAGGGCAAGGGAAGGGAAGTTGATCCTGCAGGTGCAAATTATTTGAGGTGCCCCTCCTAAAATACTTGGAGTAGGTAAAGAACCTTTTCATAGCCAGGATTAATCTTTCTCTTAAGCAACATACTCAGGCTAAAGAGAGGAAGAATACTGGGGGAAATTTACAGGTGGTTCAGCCACTAGAACAGGATAGGGTAAGGTAGGGTAGGGTAGGGTAGGGTAGGGTAGGGTAGAATAGAATAGAATAGAATAGAATAGAATAGAATAGAATAGAATAGAATAGAATAGAATAGAATAGAATAGAATAGAATAGAATAGAATAGAATTCTTTATTGGCCAAGTGTGATTGGACACACAAGGAATTTGTCTTTGGTGCATAGGATCTCAATGTACAAAAAAAGGAAAGATACATTTGTCAAGAATTATAAGGTACAACACTTAATGATAGTCACTGGGTACAAATAAGCAATCGAATCATACTAGGAAACAATCAATATAAACCATAAGAACACAGCAACAAATTACAGTCATAAGTGGGAGGAGATGGGTGATAGGAACGATGAGAAGATTAATAGTAATAGTAATGCAGACATAGTGAACTATCTTTCAGCTCAATCTTCCTTGGAATTTTGATATTCACAGGTCAAAACTGGAACCAGGGTTCTTATTTGCACACCTTTATCTTATGGAAGAAATACTGGATTAAAATAATTCTGTGTTTATAAGTAAATAAACACGGCTAACAGAACAGACCTATCTTATTGGCTGGATTGACTTGCAGGTGGAAAGATTGTAGCTGCCCAAAGTCAGTTGGCTGAGATGGGCAGCTACAGAAACTGAATACATAAAATAAAATGCAGTTCTTTAATAATATCTGGCACTTTTTTTTTTTCTACCACCTTAAAATGGTTGAAAGAATAATAATGAAAAAAAAAAAGAGAGAGAGAGAGAAACAGCTGCAGAATAAGAAAGAAGATTATGGAAAGTTTTATCCGGGTCACCCAAAGAATTAATCTCTCTCTTTTCTCTTTCGGAGTTTGAATGTCCTGGATGTAGACATTTATACTGCATTTTCATTATACTTTTTGGCAAATGATTTGACATATGCTGCAGGTTTGATGGAAAAATTACTGACTGGATATATTATATGAGAATTGCTGCGAAAGCTAGAAAATGCTATGGAAACATTAAGGAGTCATAAGAATGTAAAATGTCTCTGGCTCCTTTGGGTCTTGGATGTCCAGTCCTATTATTCATCAGGGTAGATAGTTGCTTGGTTTCCTCGTCTGATGACCTCTGCCCAGGGTTTTCTCTCTGTCGGCACACAGACAAGGCACACCTCTTGTGCCTTGTCCTTTAAATTGGACTCCTATCTTTAGGTGAGGACATTAAAGATGTTGTTCTGGAGTCCAATTACCAGTCCACTTAGTGTCATTGTGTCATAAAAAGCTGTGGTGGTGCAGTGGTTAAGAGTGCAGTACTGCAGTCTACTGTAGAAACCTAACTCTTTGGAGAAGAAGGAAGGAAAGGAAGGAAGGAAGGAAGGAAGGAAGGAAGGAAGGAAGGAAGGAAGGAAGGAAGGAAGGAAAGGAAGGAAGGAAGGAGAGTGAGAGGGGTAGGGAGGGGAGGGGAGGGAAGGGGGGATGGAGGAACAGATGGAGGAACAGGGAAGGAGAGAGGGAGAACAGAAGGATGGAATTAGACAAACAAAAGCCAGGTGGATGGACTGAGTTACATCAATGAGCCACGGTGGTGCAATGATTAGAGTGCAGTACTGCAGGCTACTATAGAAACCTAACCCTTTGGAGAAGAAGGAAGGAAAAGGAAGGAAGGAAGGAAGGGAAAGGCTATTGCTTAGCGCATTGTAAGCCGCCCTGAGTCTCCCGAGAAGGGCGGCATATAAATCAATTTTTTTTTAAAAAAAAGGAAGGAAGGAAGGAGAGGGAGAGGGGTAGGGAGGGGATAAAAAGGAAGGGGGAGAGGGAGGAACAGATGGAGGAACAGGGAGGGAGGGAGAGCAGAAGGATGGAATTAGACAACCAACAGCCAGGTGGATGGACTGAGTTACATCAAGGCGCCGCGGTGGCGCAATGGTTGGAGTGGAGTACTGCAGGCTACTTCTCCTGACTGCTGGCTGCCTGCAATTTGGCAGTTCAAATCTCACCAGGCTCCAGGTTGACGCAGCCTTTCATCCTTCCAAGGTCGGTAAAATGAGGACCCAGATTGTTGGGGGCAAGAGGCTGACTTTGTAAACCGCTTAGAGAGGGCTGTAAAGTGCTGTAAAGCGGTATATAAGTCTAAGTGCTATTGCTATTTCCCCGGGATTGTCCAACATCTTGTGATGCCCTCAAGCTCATGGTAGACCACATTGCAGTTCGTATCTCCATAGTACCCGATTCAATTTGCAATCTCTGATTATATGATACCCATGTCCATGTTTTAATTTTGTCTTCTTCCAGAAAGTGATACTTTTCTAGAAGACAGATTAAGTGGCGATGGTTCTTCCTCACAAGGCATCCTTAAGAGAGGATCCGGGAGCGACTCTGAACTTTTTCCTCTCTCCAGGGATGGTCTGGACGAGGTGGACTTTAGAAAGGTAAGATGAAAATTGGCTCAATAGATCTACCGAAGCTCTTCTACTAATGTTTCTTGCTTTGGCTGCTAAACCATATGATCATTAGTATTTTTTGGGGGGGTGGGGGTGGTCATTCGACTGTTCTGCATGACAGTCTTAAGCTACTTGTCTCCTCTGGTGATACTGGCTGAAAATGAAGTCAGCTTAAGAAAAATATTACTGTCTAGATTTCAAACTTTGGCAACAACGCTAGCCAACTGTTTTACCGAGATAGGTAGCTGTCCAAGGTTTATTGGACTGGGTGGTGTGTACTGAGCAGGTTCCCCAGTTTGGGCCCCCTGTTGGAGTGTACAGAAGGGGGAAACATTCTGATTGGTTAGCCACGCTGACAGCGTGAATATATAAGAGCTGTCATTGGTTGTTCTCTGTTCTGTTCTGAGGAGAACGTGTTCTGGGTCTCCCGTTTGAGTTAATAAAGAAGTTACCTCAGATGTTAATTACTTGTCGTGGAATCGTCTCTTACAATCAGCTGATATAAATTAGGTGGCTATAATAAATGTACCATATTTTTCAGACTATAAGACACACCTAAATTTAGAGGAGGAAAAAAAAAAAAGTTTTTAGCCTACCTTTTTTTGGGGCCTTTTTTGGGGGCCTTTTCCAGTCTTTTTTCTGCCTGTTTTCGGGGCTTTTTTGGGGGGGGGGGGCATTTTCGAGGCTTTTTTGGCCTATTTTTGAGGCTTTTTTCAGCCCATTTTTGAGGCTTTTTGTGAGCCGTTTTCAAGACTTTTGGGGGGCAGTTTTCTAGGCTTTTTTTTGGCCCATTTTTGAAACTTTTTTCAGCCTATTTTTTGGGCTTTTTTCGGCCCATTTTCAGGGCTTTTTTGGCCCATTTCCAGAGCTTTTTTTGGCCCATTTTTGAGGCTTTTTTGGCCTATTTTGAGGCTTTTTTCAGCCCATTTTTGAGGCTTTTTGGGGCCATTTTCAAGGCTTTTGGGGGATCATTTTCTAGGCTTTTTTAGCCCATTTTGAGGCTCAAAAATGCCCCGAAAATAGGCCAAAAAAGCCCCCAAAATGAACCAAAAAAGCCTCAAAAAGAGGCCGAAAAAAGCCTCAAAAAGAGGCCAAACAAAGGCCTGAAAAAGGCCTGAAAACAGAGCATGTGGAGACCAAAGAAAGGGGCAGTGGGTGGGTGGGCGGGGCTTTGGCAATATTCAGTCTATAAAATGCACAGACATTTTTGTCCCCTTTTGGGAGACAAAAAAGTGTGTCTTATAGTCTGAGAAATACGGTAATTAAGTAATAATAGGAATAACCAATGCCCCTGTTTGGTTGATTCCCTTACTTCTTTGCTTCCTTTGATACAAAGCAAGAAAAAAAGAGGTAGCAGTTACCTTTGTGGTGGGTTACAGATAAGTTGAGAATGACATTGTACATTTAGGACCCCCAGAATCGGTAAAAATCCCTAAAAAGCAGGGCAGGTAGGTCATAAAATGAATTCATTGACTATTGAATCTTACCAGTGTAGACTTACATAGGACTTCAGTAGGAAATACTGGTTTTAAATAGAGAGAACCCCTTTAATTTAGAAATATTTAATCTAGAATGAAGTCTTGTCTACAGTGTAGTTTTTTTCTTTCATATACACTGAGAGCATATGCACCAAGACAAATTCCTTGTGTGTCCAATCACACTTGGCCAATAAAAAATTCTATCTATTCTATCTAGTTCATTATAGCAATAGGATTACCCCACCGGTATTTTTTTATTTTACTGCCCAGCTAGCAAGAAAGTGGCTAGTGATGATGGATTTTGGAGTCCAACTTCTTGTTCAAAATGGCAGAAATTTGTAGCGCTGGTTTTCAACTGTTAAGATCAAGATGGTTCCAGGGAGCAGAAAAGCCATATTTACGTGATTGCTTCTGGCTTTGAGTCCCAGGTTGTCCACCTTAAGACAAAGTCTTCATGCAAGATCCCATGGGTTATCCCAGAAACCTCCTTCTGATTTCTCTCTCTTCTCACACTAAACCTTCACTGCGACAGGCCTGCATTGTGACACGGCCCGTCTCAATGAATCATGCAGCCTGAAGTCATTTCCTGCAGTCTTGTTTTCAGACTCTTCTGATAAATCTGCCACTTTCCTTGCTGGATCTTCTAAGGATCTGAATATTTCAACCATTGAATCTTTTGCTCAACCCAGAACACCCTCTGGATGTCTTGACGATGCTGGTTGCATCATCCCGAGGCAACAGCCTCCTTTAAAAGTCAAAAGAATCCTGGCCAGCTAAGGGCCACCCTTCCTTTTCTGATCACAGCTGAGCTGCTGAAGTTCTGGCCAAGAAGAACAGCTATTCTGGATGCAAGTCTGGAGGGAGAAGCTGTTTTCCAGTCCCTTTAGCCTTGTGTACAAAATCTAGGGTGTGCCTGAGAAAGGGGTGAGGCACTGAGAGGAGCAAGAATTCTTCTCTATAAACTTCTGGCTTTTTTTTTTTTTAATATTGTTCTTATGCAATTTTGAACCCCATCCCCAATAAAAGAAGAAGTTCTACTAGTAAGCTTTGATGCAGGCATGATCTTGTGTTCCGAGAAACACTTTTATGTAACATCTGGGTAAGTTAACATTGACAAAAGAAAAGGAAGTTCTTGAGAAGGTGATTATTTTTGAGTTCACAACTGAAGCCAGATGGAAGAACATTTGCAAAGCTAATTTTCCCTGCATTGTCTCCTTGGTTAACGTGCTGGGTTGCAGCGATGTTCTGCCGTGGTGCTTGGCTAAAGGTTGGCTGACCAAGACAGGGTCCCCATGCCAGATGCATCAATTGTCGGTTCTCATCAGAACTTCCTTCTTTTGCAAGTGACCTCATCCCAAGAGTAGGAAGCCAGAAGGCAACAGGGCTTGCGGTACAGCTGGTGGACACATGGGAATTTCAAGATTTACAAAAAAGCAAGCATCCTCTCCTCCTTAAATTCTCATAAATGGTGCAAAGAGGAGAATGCCAGGAGGTGCTTTTAACTAGAGGCTATTAGAATCGCGAGAAGAATGTCTTGTCCCTTGCTCTGGGAGGCATATGAAGCAAGCATCTGTTTAATTGTATGCAAAGAAAAACAAAAATGTCAAATAGTTCAGCACCCACACAATTAAATCCCAACACACACGCTTCAATATGTTCTATGTAAGTGTTTAGGTTTCTTCATTGCGATATCATGGAAAGCGCCAAGATTGAAAAATATACCACAGTGTTAATGTTGGGCTTGTGATCCATCAATCACCTTGTGATGTGATGAGATAACAGTCTTGTGCTGTGTCTTACCACCCCCCACCCCCCAAAAATCCATATCACTTTCAGATTCAAATATAGTTTAGGGGATTTCTGTGTAGAGTTAAGGATTTGGAAGGAGGATGTGCAGGGATCACTTCTTCTTTACTTAAAAGTTCAAGTCATTGGCAAGAAACTTGTAAATCCCCTTTTAATAACTGTCTCGGATGAGATCATCCGTCTTTCCTTATTGATCTGAGTTCAGTTTCCTGGTGGTGTAAGCTTTAATGAAGCACAGAGTGGTTCAGGCAAGGAATGGGTATCCAGACCTCGAGCTTCTAAAATCCAAGATAGCAATGGGCAATATTATTGTTTTTAATTTATTTTTTATTGGTTTTCTCTTTACATACACTCAGAGGTGGGTTTCAGCAGGTTCTGACCTTTCTGGAGAACCGGTAGTGGAAATTTTGAGTAGTTTGGAGAATTGGTAGTAAAAATTCTGACTGGCCCCACCCCCATCTATTTTCTGTCTCCCAAGTCCCAGCTGATCGGGAGGAAATGGGGATTTTGCAGTATCCTTCCCCTGGAGTGGGGTGGGAATGGAGATTTTACAGTATCCTTTCCCTGCCATGCCCACCAAGCCACGCCCACAAGCCACACCCACAGAACCTGTAGTATAAAAATTTGAAACTGCATACAATATGTGCTTAATGAACAGCGTACTGCCTGAGTCCATTCATTTATATAGTAATACTTCTTAAATTCCTAATTTCTACCCCTGTTGCCCAACTATTGATAAAACAAGTCTGAAGTTCGAAAATATTCTGTCTTCTTTTTTCTTTTAACGTCAGTGTTAATCTGTCCATTTCTGCACAGTCCAATATTTTTTTTAATTATATCTTCTTCTGTAGGTGTTTCCTCGCTTTTCCAATATTGTGCAAATACAATTCTTGCTGCTGTTAAAACATGTAATATCAAATATAATGGGTTTTTTTCAGAGTATAAGATGCACCTTTTCCTCCCCTAAAAGAGGCTGAAAATTTGGGTGCATCTTATACTCCGAATGTAGCTTTTTTGAAGCTTTTTTTCAGCCCTAACGAGGCACTAACGAGTGAAGTGACTCTCCGCTGTGCTTTAATGAGGCACTAGCAAGTGAAGTGATCTCCATGCTTTGCTCCAACTCTCAGCTGTTCTTTAGAAGTTGTTTTTCAGCCCTAACTAGGCGCTAGCCGAGTGAAGTGATCTCTCCCCCGTGCTTTGCCTGCTTTTCTCATTGCTGCTTCCTCTCAGCTGTGCCTTAGAAGCTGTTTTTTATCCCCAAGCAGGGGATAAAAAACCAGCGAACTAATGTGCTGAAGCTGACCAGACTAAGGACGCTAGCCAGATGAATACCTGGTAGGCAGATTTTTTTTTTCTTACTATCCTCCCGAAAAACTAAGCTGCGTCTTATACTCTGGTGCGTCTTATACTCTGAAAAATACAGTAATAAATTTCCTTTCTATTACATTAATGGTTACAGTAGAGTGTCACCTGGAAAGAAACTTAATTTAAGATATGTGTAAATTAAATAATGATATTATTACTATTAGTACTACTGCGATCATTGCCATTACTCCTGTATTATTGCAATCCCAAAGCAGCCTGAAGAGGAGCAATCAGCCGGTAGAAGTTCAACCTCCTCAGCGGACGATACTATATCGCTGGAAAGGAACTCTTCCATTGGTAGTAACCTTTCTGTTCCTCGGACGCCTGGCCTCCCTGGATCCAAGGAGAGGTACAGCCCAGATGGCAGCTGCTTCAACATGGGGACGAACGGAGAAGGTCAAGATGGCATGGCAGTGATCTCTGGAGAACTGGACGAATTGCTGGATAGCGTCATGGAGGTGTCCCCTCCTTCTTCTGGCCTGCGGAACAATTTGAGGCCCTTGTCTCCTTTCCGTCGGCATAGCTGGGGCCCAGGGAAGAATAGTAACAACGGTGAAGCTGAGGTCAACCACAGGAGGTAAGTCAAATGGTTTCTTGGAAGGGGCTGATCATCCACACTAGAAGAAATGTGGGGCTTCCAAGATGCCGGGAGAAAGGAAATAGGAAGGAGAAGTCAAGTTCAACCACAAGATCAAAACATGAGATCCAAGTGGGAAACATTGGAGCTTGAGCACAGACAATGAGGCATGTTCTGGTTGTTTGGCTCTCAACTTCATAACCTGAACTCCACTCCCATTTGCCCTATCCAATAGCCACGGGGAGTGGGAGTTTTGAGTAAACATGGCCTATGCTGTTGGTTTCCCACCTGAGCTGGAAAGCTCCCATTTTATTAAGGCAAAAAGCAAAGGGCAAGAAACAAAGCAGGACCATCCAATCATTTAGATCAGGGGTGTCAAACTGAAGGCCCAGGGACCGGAACTGGCCTGCAGGGTCCTTAGATCTGGCCCGCAGGGCTGTCCTGGAAACAGTGAAGGACCGGCCTGCAGTGCCTCTGCCAGTGAAAATGGAGCTCGGAGAGGCCTTGTGTCCCCCCTCCCACCCCCTGTTCTGTTTTCGGCCATAACAGCCTCCTGCAACCTTCTGCTAGTGAAAACAGAGCCCAGGGAGGCCTCAATGAGTGGTGTTGAGCTGGCACCAAGCCACACCCTCCCCAGCCATGCCCCCATGGCCGCCCGAAGTCAAACACAACCCTGATGTGGCCCTCAATGAAATCGAGTTTGACATCCCCTGATCTAGATCTTCTTTGGGCTGACCTAGAAGGAGTTTTGGATTTTCTCTAGATGTTGCGTCCTCTGTGACAAGAGTTTAAGTAATTATCATGACTCAGGTTATTGTACACAGTGACTATACCTCACCTGTAGTAGGTGTGGGGGAGTGGGGAAGGCTGATAGGTTAGAGGTGAAAAAAAATATCATACTTTGAGATGATGTAGCTTTCAAAAAAGTTCAGCCAAGTTCTCATCTCGATGACTTGAGACAAAGAAAGGGAAGCATCTCCTGCAACATGTTTATGATTTTGGCACAACAGCCTTAGCACTTTTCATTGCTATTGGCATAGGTAGTCCTCAACTTACAACAGTCTGTTTAGTGACTGTTCAAAGTTACCACGGCACAGAATAAGGGCATTTATGACCATTTTTCACACTAATGACTATTGTAGCATTCCCATGATCGTGTGATCAAAATTCAGACACTTGGCAACTGGTTCATACTTATGACGGTTGTAGTTTCCCAGGCTCAAGTGATCCCCTTTTACGACCTTCTGACAAGCACGGGGAAGCCCAATTCGCTTAACAACTGTGCCTCTCACTTAACAACCGCAGCGATCCATAGTAGTGAAGTTGTGCAGAAAGTTCATAAAATGGGACAAAACTTGCTTAACAACGGCCTTGCTTAGCAACAGAAATTTGGGGCTCAATTGCAGTCATAAGTTGAGGACTACCTGGATCAGTTATTCATTTTGCGTAACCCTGGATTGGGCAGGCAGTACGGGAAATGACCTTGATTAAGGCTCTGATGGTGCCAATATGTTTATGTTGGGCCAAGGACCGTTCAGTTCTTGCTTCTTGGCCGTAGATGGCGCTGTGAACTTGCAGGCTAAGACTCTTCTTCATATCAAACATTTTTCCCACCCTTCTGCCACCATGTCATTTTTCTCTACTCCCTGTTATCACCCCTTCTGTCCTTCACCTTTGGATGCTCCCCTACAACTTCTGGTCTCTGTCTGGAGATTTCTGAATGGTTGATGATGTTTCTGATAATTGTCCATGATTCATTTTTTCAGTTCAGTGCGACTGCTGGGGGAAGTCGTAAGGAAAACTCCCTCCCATAGAAGAAGGTACAGCACAGATACACTGAAGCTGACTAACCATGTTGCATTTCGAGGGCGACTAACTTCCTGCTTTTGTATTAATCATCCGTTCAGCTCAGCCTTCTCCAGTCTGGTTCCTCTAGATGGGTCGGACTTCAGCTCCCATAGTCCCCAACTGGCAGAGATTGGGGCTATGGTTGCTGAAGGTTATGGGCACAATTGTGCAATCTATTTAAGAAGGAACCAGCCTGAGAAAAAGCTAGTTCAGTGCAGTACTTGAACCACAGCTCCACTGGGGATCAGTGGAGCAACTGGAGGAGCAGGCTTGTCCAAAATATACTTTACCGTTTGAAATGGATGGATCTGTACTTTTGATACAAAGCAGTAAAATTGATTTATTAAATTATACAGCTGCCCAAGTACCATCTCGCTCTTTTGGATCCCGTATATTCAGTAGGCAAAGAAATGTGGAGAGAAAATTATACCTCCCTTTCCTTTCCTTTCCTTTCCTTTCCTTTCCTTTCCTTTCCTTTCCTTTCCTTTCCTTTCCTTTCCTTTCCTTTCCTTTCCCTTCCCTTCCCTTCCCTTCCCTTCCCTTTCCCTCCCTCCCTCCCTCCCTCCCTCCCTCCCTTCCTTCCTTCCTTCCTTCCTTCTTTCCTTCCTCACACTAATGCAGAAATTTCCTTTCCTTTCCTTTCCTTTCCTTTCCTTTCCTTTCCTTTCCTTTCCTCTCCTCTCCTCTCCTCTCCTCTCCTCTCCTCTCCTCTCCTTTCCTTTCCTTTCCTCTCCTCTCCTCTTCCTCTCCTCTCCTCTCCTCTCCTCTCCTCTCCTCTCCTCTCCTCTCCTCTCCTCTCCTCAAATGATACTTACATTTACGCTACAGACCAGGATTATGGATAAGAAAATAATAAGCAAACAAAAAGAAGGGGGGGGGAATAAACAGCCTTCCTGGAAGTTAAAATAAAAATGTTGTTCCTAGTTCTTTTGTTTCTTTCTCTCCCTCCAGCCTCCAGTTTATGTTTAAGCAAAAAGCTTTAGACAATCTTTTTATATTTCAAAAACCTCAGTGTGCCTAATCCTGCCAAAATTAATAGAACATTCAATGCTTGAATGGTGATTTTGCAAAACAAAATTGAAAAACCAAACCAAAACAAAAAAAAAGCCACATATTTCTGGAGCTAATGATAGAACTTGGTTATTAATTATGCTTTTGCTCTTGAAATGTCTGTTTTGCATATTTAAGCTGTGGGTGAGCTTTTAAATGCTGTGGGGGGGAAAGCAGTACCGTTTTGGTATACCCTGGGCAGCTCAGCCTGTGTCATGTGCCTTCCAGATGTGTGACTACCATCCCTAGATCTTGTGAATTGGAGATGATGGGGGCTGTAATCCAGCACATCCATTGGCAACCGAGTTGAGAAAAGCTGATATTGTAATTAATGTAGAACTAAAAGAAAGTCACTGCTGAAGGATTAATTCGGTATTTTGGCACAAGTCTACTCCTAGTGCCACCTAGAGGTTTTTTAAAATTTTCATGTAGCCTAGTCATTACAACATTTGCTGGCCACATGTACAGATCTACATGTACAGATTCTATTCTATTCTATTCTATTCTATTCTATTCTATTCTATTCTATTCTATTCTATTCTATTCTATTCTATTCTATTCTATTCTATTCTATTCTATTCTATTCTATTCCATCCCATCCCATCCCATCCCATCCCATCCCATCCCATCCCATTCCATATTCCAATTCATTCTGTACCATTCCACTCCACTCCACTCCACTCCACTCCTCTCCTTGCTCTGGTCTGCTCTACTCTTCTTCCTTTTCTTTCTTTTTGATTTTTCTTTTCATGAATTCCATACTTTTCTCATCCCTCATGGACTCTTTCTCATTCATTCTTCCCCAGTTTTCCCTATTGGTGCCCCTTCAACATTTTTAGCAGTTTCCCTGCATTCATTTCAATCCCATATCTTCTGGTCCACTAGAATATGAGGTTTTAGTCTCTGCCAAATGAGCTGCCAATTCCTACAAAATTTTCCACTAATGATCAACATTTCTATGGATGGAACCTTTTTTTGGGGGGGGGGGAAATTGTATATTGATGCATTCTCTGGGGTAACCGAGCAGCTCAGTTAATAGCTAGGGCTTCCTAACAGACCAGTTTTTAAATCATGAAATACCGTGTTTCCCCGAAAATAAGATCCAGCTGGAAAATAAACCCTAGCACGATTTTTCAGGATGCTCGTAATATAAGCCCTACCCCAAAAATAAGCTCCAATTAAGATGGTCAGCCAGACAGATGCATTTAGTACTGTATTTCCCCCAAAATAAGAGCTAACTGGAAAAATAAGCCCTGTTGCATCTTTTGGAGCAAAAATTAATATAAGACCCGGTCTTATTTTCAGGGAAACATGGGTAATAATAATAATAATAATAATAATAATAATAATAATAATAATAATAAAGGAACTATGTAGGAACGTATGTGCACAAAGTTATGGGAGGGAAAGGAGGTATAATTCTTTCAAGGGTAGCCAAATTGGTAAACATCTGCCCCTCTGAACAATCAAGTAATGGCAGACCTCTTGCTGTCTCTCACCTTTGTTATTCCCAGTTTGAGCTGGTGTCCCTCAGGTGTCCAGTGCAATGCCATGGATGCTGACTTTAATGGTCGAAGGTAGAGTATGCCATAGCATCCAAGGGAGCTTCTGCATTTGTCATTGCCAGCTTTTTGTGTGATGTCTGTAGCCTCATTGCATCCTCGGTGTATCTGCTGGCTTGGGTGGTGTGCTGTTTTGATTCAGTTTCTTTGAATTAAGTTTGTTTTTTTTAAAAACTTGATGGTTTTCCAGAATTTGGTATTTGTGGTCACCACCTCCCAGCCCTTCCTTATGACTTGAACTGGAACTGTTCTGCCCCAGCTACGGACCCCAAAGAATGCAACACACACAAACTCTATACAAAGCTTATTTTACTCAAATAACTCAGTCTTTATCATTCAAAGGCTGTTAATGAACTGTCTTAACAGCCTATCAGAATTCTAAGATAAGGTAATCACAGTCTTATTTGAGTTGGCAGAAAGCCCAGAAGCAATTTTGCGGACACGAAGGAGAGTGAATTAAAATTGTTCTCTACAGCTTGTTGCAAGTGGCGTTCCTCCTTAAATAGGTTAAGGGAGTGGCCAATTAGCCCCAAGCCTTACTCTTGAGGAGACCTCCTCCTGAGGAGCCACTCCTGCCTTTTGGCAGCTCTGCATGCCCGTGCATTGAGAAGAGGCTCCTCCTCTTCGTCCTCTTCACTTAAAGGAGCTTCTGGAGGTTCTGAAGGCCCTGGCTGAATCCCCGCCTCTGGCACCACATCTTCTCCAGCCTCCTCACTGTCCGACTCAAGCGCCAGCTGCACAGGCTGCTGACACAGCACCATACCAGCCTCCTCGTTGTCGGAATCAGCTACAATCTGCACAGGCCACAACAGGAGCACAGAGACTTGTTTAATGTCAAACTAAGCTTTACAAGGTCCCTGGCTGCCACTTAAGTAAGAATCTTCTGTATCACCAAATCGAAGAAGAAGATGGGTGTCAGTTCTTCCAAGCAGGAAAAGGCCTCCTGCCACGATGGGCAGGGTTTGGGTTTTCTGGAATTAACATAGATTGCTAAGACCATAGGCTGGTTAAAATGGTACAAGATGGGCAGGTCATCTTCATGGAGAAAAATTTCCCTAGTCACCTGGAAGCCATTTTTGCTCACCATAGGTGACCAAGTGAATAACTCTGTTACTTCCGCTGCAACCTCTTCGTTAGCGGCATGTTTCCTCTTTTACTAGGATCAGTCTGGCTTTCCAAATTTAGAAAGAAATATGCTTAATGAAGCATGTGCATGTTCTTATCCTATCAGATATGCAAACTGAGCAAAACATACACTTAACGTTATGTGTGGGAAACACAGGAGGTGGAATTATGCCCCCAAGTAGTTAATGTAAACATTAATCATAAGTGGCACAAGGAACTACGAAGCTGAAAACAATTATTGCAAGAAAGTAAAAACCAATGTAGGAAAACTCAGAAGGTGTCATAAGTATGCATGGAATGGCAACGTATAAGCAATGAAGGTTTGATGGCCAAGCATATTTCGGCCACCTTAACTATTTTTGTGGCTTCTGTCTAACTAGCAGAACAAAAACATTGCAGCATAGAATTTCCTCTTAACACGTTCTACGTCCATGCACAGCTTTTTCCCAACTAGGGCAAGTCAACAACAATAATTTTGTTGCCAAAAGGGACCCAAGGGAGAACGAAACTTTAAACTGAAGCTGAAAAATCAGGAAGGAACCAGGGGTGAAATGCTACCGGTTCGCACCGGTTCAGGTAAACCGGTAGTAATAAAAGCTACTGGTTTAGGTGAACTGGTAGTTAAAAAAAGCTACTGGTTCATTTGAACCGGTATTTTCGACGACAGTCGTGCCGCACGATTTATATTTGTTAGAAAGCAGAAATCCTGCTTTCTAGCAAATCTAAATCGCATGGCACAGATGTCTCCCCCCCACACTGTTCTACTTACCTTCAAACAGCTCCTTTTTCCGTGCACCAGGCAGCAAACTGGTGGTAACCCGCGGAGGATTTCACCACTGGAAGGAACAACGAAAAGGGTTGCATGGTGAAGTCTTATAATTAAACCAGCCCATAAATGCCAAAGTCCAGCCTTGATAATGTTTCTGACAATGCTTTCCTTTAGAAAGAATTACTAAAGCAAAATCTCTTTGATTAAATTGAATGAGAAGGCAAAAAAATTGCACGTATTTCTCTACTCGGCATTAACTGGAATCCATTTTTAGCAATTCTTTATTAGAAACAACTTTCCTAAAAAAAATAAATAAAAACACCTAACTAACTCATGCTAAAAGTACTAATAATGCTCCTCTTGATTTTTCCTTTGCATCTTTGTACGAAGGTAATTTTTCTCATGAGGAGAAAGACCAAATCTATACTCAGTACAAAGTAGGGCTCTTTACAAAAAGTCCTTGAGCCTGCACATTTATATCTAGACAGATAAATTGTAGCAGCAGAAAGTTGCAAAGGAGCTACTGCGGGTGGACTGGGTCTCTAATTCTAACAGCAATAATGTGCTAACATGCTAACTAACCAAGGAAACCAGGTAGATCAGCTTACAGCTAAATAATATACAGCACAATATTACTTGGAAATCTCCTTGTCAAGCTTGCTTAAGCCAACAAGATTTTATTGACTGAACTATCAAGAACTGGGGGAAACCTAAAGCCTGTCATTTGTCTTCAGTTACAGCTTAGAAGGTCTTTCCAGAGAGGCTGATGATACTACTAAGCCATCCTCAAGTCTCGATGTAGCATCTATGAACACCAAAGATCTTCGGCGGAGTCCCCTAGCAAATGATGAACGAGGGTCCCTGGTCTCGCTCACTGAAGAGGAACAGGAATCAGAGCTAGGAGAAATGAGAAGTCAGGTAAGAAGAAAGGTCATTCCAAGGATACAGTTATCCTTGCTTGATTTGCATGGTCTACAAAGCCAGATGTGGGCAACAGCAGTTTGCATCCCTCGATGTCAGAAGGCACCGTTCCTTTTCATAATTTTGTTACAAGTGATCCTCAACTCGATTTTCACTTTCCACTCTTGCGATCAACGCTAAGAGAAATCTTGGACAGAAATCTTAACTATGTATTTAAGGACCACCTCCTAGGACAGTGATGGCTAACCACCTCCTCCCCCCCCCTCCTCCTCCTCCTCCTCTCCCTCTTTCCCCACCCGCACTCCCTTCTAGCACTGATGATGTTACCTACTTGGGTCAAGAAACGTTTGCAGGGAAACAACCAAGCTCAGAAAGCACCATGGACCTCCTCATTTAAGCCCTGAGCTACAAATATTCTCCTCTATTTGTCTGTTTGACCGGTCCGAGAAGACTAAATTTAGTTTAACCATCCTGCATTTCACAGATTCTCCAAAGACCACAGCCCCGCTCCTTCGGCTTCTCCACAAGTCCCGTTTCTCCTCCATTAACGAAATCCATGTCGCTGATGACCATCGCCCAAGCGGAATCAGACAATAGTGAGTATTTGTGGGTTTTAATTTAGTTTTTCTTTGCATGTAGCATTCAGTTGTGAGCATGTTAAGCACACCTTCTGCTTTTCCTATACCAGCCTAGCTTTGCGCCATTTTGAGATAAGTATTTGTCAGAGGAGGCAAATGTCTGGTCCTGCACTATATGAAGTGTTGGGTTGTTTTGCCCAATTAATTACTCCTGTAAAGATGCTCAAGTTCTTTTCTTCTATTGGTCCAACCTGTGCATTTTTTAAGAATGTAGAAGACCCTGGATTAAATTTGAGACTTAGCACACTACTGAACTCTCATTCCTTCCCAATGCCTCTCCAAGAAATAAGTGTCAGGGTTCCAAGTAATAGATCCATTGCAAGCTAAAACTCAGAGACAGGTGAATTCCTTAAAGAATAGTTTTATTGGAAATATCAAATTGGCACATGTCTGGTAAAAACCAACTGAGGGGCCTCTTGGTTTTCACCTAATTAAAAGTTTTTCTCTCAATCCCAAACAATCAGTCACATGGCCCAATCAAGGCAGCGTCTGCTGGTCTGGTGACATTACTCCTCCTTCCTCCGTCCAGGTGTGATAATGTCCTTGGTTCCCAAGAGAAAGTATTTTGTTTTGACTACACAACCCCAGCTATCTCTAATCGCCCCTCCCTATCCCTCAGCTCCAGTGCGGCAGTACTGAAGCTCCAAGATGGCTTCGGCCAGGTCAGTTTCAGGGTTGACAATCAGATTAGTAGTGAGAAAAAAGAGGTAAAGATAAAGGTTCCCCCTGTCCAGTCATGTCAGATTCTAGGGGATGGTGGTGCTCATCTCTGTTTCTTAGCAGAGGGAGCCAGTGTTATCCGAAAACATTTACCTGGTCATGTGGCCAGTATGACTATACGTTTAATGGAACCCTGTTACAGTGGTGGGATCCTCCCAGTTTAACAACCGGTTTGGTTATCACGTGATTTGTGCATGCGCTCACGCTTTGCGCACGCCCGCACCTGATTCATGCTGCGCACACGTGCACAGTTTGAAGAAATCTTCACTTCCAGGTTTCTTTGGAGGAGTAACACAGCTGATTCACGCAGCAATCCACTCTTGCCACGTGAATCAGCTGAGAAAATAAAGGTAGGAAAATAGGGCGGGCAGGCAGGTGGGCCCATCTGATCGTCGGGCGAACGAGTTCGCTCCCAGCTGATCGTCGGAGCTACTGGTTAGCCTGAACCAGTCCGAACTGGTAGAATCCCACCCCTGCGTTGTTACCTTCCCATTGAAGTGGTACCTATTTATCTACTTGCATTTGCATGCTTTCAAGCTGTTAGGTGGGCAGGAGCTGGAGCAAGGAACAGGAGCTCACTCTGTCCCGCATCACTCAGGTCTCGAACCTGAGCTTTCAGCTTTCCAACTGATAAACTCAGTGTTTTAACTGTTGAGCTATCTCGCCCCCCTCAGTAGTGGAAAGAATAAAAAGAAATTGAAATCTTGATGTAGCAGAGACAAGTCTCCAGTAAGATGTGGAAACCATCTTTAAGGTGCTAGAAACAGTCCAAAATAACTAAACAAACTGCACCCCACTGTGACTAATGTCCCCTCCTTGGAAAATGTCTCCTGGATTCTTTTACGTCTATCTGGAGTTTTGAGAGAGGTGAAGAACAAGCTATCTCTGCATCTGCCTCATTTTTTTTTTCTTTAGCGGAAATGACAGTGAGACATGTTTTTATAGGATGATTGTGTGCCCTGAGGGAACGTCAGTGGGTTCTGACTTGCAGTTGTGAAAGTTGCATCTCCGGTGCAGCTTCATTGTTCATCAGTTCTGCTAGTGGTTATGTGGTGTGGCTCAAATGAGCCTGGAACAGAGTGATTGTAATCCATGATTACTCTAGCATTTAATGGATTGTATTCTTGTTCTATTCCAATTGGAAATCCAGATTTTATATAATAAGCGGAAGTGGCATTTCCTTACATTTCTCCTAAATTTAACTATTACTTCCCAACTGTAATGATGCTTGTGTGGTCACCCATGGTTTTAGATGGCTTATTTATTTATTTGTCCAATTTAGAAGGCCATCTATCTGTCTAAAAACTTTGGGAGGCAAGCAGTGTTAAAAATAAACAATTTAAAAAACAACCTGTACATCTCAAAGAGATGTACAGACTAACATATAAAATAGGTTCACCATTCACCTGAACCAAAGGCCAGGTTTTCACATACTTTAAAAACACAAGTCAGGATACAAGCCATATGGAAAACACCTAGGAAAAAGTTTTGCAGGGGTCACTACAGTGAAGAGAACATTTTTCCTCGGGGAAATACATGGAGGAATAAAAAATCCCAAACATTTCAAATTCTTCTTTTTTAAAAAAATTATTGTTCTACCCTAGAAAATAAAATACAAAATAGTAAAAACAAACAAAGAAACAAAATGAAACAAGAGCATTAGAGGTCTTCTAGTCCAACCCCTGTTCAAGCAGGAGACCCTTATACCATTTCAGACAAGTGGCTGTCCAGTCTTTTCTTAAAAGCCTCCAGTGATGAAGCAACCACAACTTCTGGTGGCAAGCTGTTCCACGGGTTAATTGTTCTCACTGTTAGGAAATTTCTCCTTCGTTCTAGGTTGCTTCTGTCTTGGATTAGTTTCCATCCATTGTTTCTTCTCTTGCCTTCTGGTGCTTTGGAAAATAAGTTGACAAATCCCTCCCCCCTTTCTTTGTGGCAGCACCTCAAATACTGAAATACTACTACCCTGTTTCCCCCAAAATAAGACATCCCCTGATAATAAGCCCTATTGGGCTTTAGAGTGGATGGCAATAAGGCCAAGCGCTTATTTTGGGGTTCAAAAGAAATATAAGACAGGATCTTATTTTTGTGGAAACACGGTATCATGTCTCCCCTAGTCCACATTTTATTTTATACATGTTTTATTTTTGCCATAAAATAAAACACTCTGCATATATAAGAAAATCATTGTCCCCCCCACCCTTCTTGGAGGGAAGCCTCTCTGGTTTGGGAGTTTGCCACTGAGAAAGTCTCTTCTAACAACCAAACCTTTTTGGAAGATCTGGCTTAGCTTCTCAAGACTCATGACTCATAAGGATGTTGACTCGTTTTTGCTTCTCCCTTAGCAATAGTAACCAAAACACTTGGTCCATCCATGAAAATAGACACTTCATCTTCGCTGACCAGAATGTACCAATTTTCTTCCTCCTTCCGAAGGGCCCTCATTAAGGGCATATCCGCACACAGGATGGGCTCACGTACTCAACAAAGGACCAATTGGTGTCCCCTTTTTTTTCTCTCCAAGTGGCTAAAAAAAGGGAAAGGGAATCTTTCCCTTGAAAACCAGCTTTCTTTGAGAAACGGATTATTTTCTCTTAATTATAGGAAACCTTTTTTGCAAATGCTTTCCTTCAAATTTTGCACTCCTTTCCAAAGAGGTCTGCACCGCAGCTCAAATTAATAGCAAGGAAAGAAACAGATTCACAAAACGGTGTCGTGCCAATGAAAGTTGCTATTTTAATATTTTGATCATTTAATAGGCAACGTGGTATAGTGTTTCCTGCCTGAGCAAGGGGTTGGATTAGAAGACCTCTAAAGTCCCTTCTTTGGGAAGAATAGAATATAAACTTCATTACGGTCATCGACCAGCAATAGACATACAATAAATTAAAAATAATACTGACATGAATCATGAATAATAACATCCCTGTTATGAAAATACATGATCTCAAACTGTTAGGATCACGCCCTAATTTACATGAGTGGAGAGCCGATAGTATGTGAGTAAATGTATTTTTCCCAAAATTGTTATAGATATCTCCAAAAAATTGGTACCAGTTGGCATCTGTAATTCTGTAACCAATTTTTTTTTTCTTGTGGATATTGCAGCAACACAGAATTTTGCCCCTGCACGTGTGGTAGCCGGGTTTGAGTCTTGGAGGAGAAAGCCTACATAAAAGTCGTCTATCCTCCCTGGCAGTCTCTCTAGTAAAGGGAGAATATATATTGACCTACATAGGCTTCTCGGCCTTTTGGCTAAGATCAAGTGTAGTATCTAAAGTCCCTTCCAATTTTGTTATTGTGTTATTAGGGAGCATGATAGGCTTTAACGTGGCCTTCACTTGCAAGGTTACCTTTTGAAGTGCACATTGATATCATAGATGTTCTTAGAAAAATAAATATGGAGAGTGTCTCTCTCTAGAGATTTGTTTGGCAATGAGCCTCTCTTTTCAGACAAAAAGGACCAACATAAACCGGAGGTCACACAAAGAATCCTGAGGCGCAGAAGGTTAGAGAGCAGGTTGGGATTGCTTACATTCACCGAGACAGTTATTCTAGGAATAAAGCCATCATCCATAATCACTACTTTGTAATATCACTATGTATGTTTCAACTTTAGATAGCCTTGCCTCCCTCCTTAATACTACATTTGGAATGCAAGGCGCTACCTAGAATACATTCCTTAGGAATTTAATTTAGACTCTTTGAAGAGGAGTAAAGATAGTGTAAGTACCGTGTTTCTCCGAAAATAAGCCCTCCCCTGAAAATAAGCCCTCCCCCCCAAAATAAGCCCTCCCTGAAAATAAGCCCTCCCTGAAAATAAGACCTCCCCTGAAAATAAACCCTCCCCTGAAATTAAGCCCTCCACTGAAAATAAGACATCCCTGAAAATAAGCCCTCCCTGAAAATAAGACATCCCTTGAAAATAAGCCCCCCCGAAAATAAGCCCTCCCCAAAAATATTTAACTGTACGCGTAGCCGGTCCCTGCCATTTCCTCTGGTTAGGGTTAGGGAGACAGAGCTGGAAATCAGGTAAGATGGCAAGAGGAGCCCCATCTTGCTCCACCTGCCCCAAAATAATAAGACCTCCCTGAAAATAAGGCCAAGCACTTATTTCGGGGTTCAAAAAAATATAAGACAGGGTCCTACTTTCGGGGAAACATGGTATAAAAGTTAAGCACAATCTAATTTGCCGGGAAATCCCACAGAAATATTGCTACCTCCCATCTGGGAGCATATTTATTTATTTATTTATTTATTCATTTATTTAAGAAAATATATATGGCAGCCCATCTCAATCTTCATGACACATATAAAAGTGAGTTCCTACTATTTCAGAGTTTGGAAAATATTGATATGAGAATCAAGTCTTGACTTGATGTAGCTTACTGAGAAAGTTTCCCCTCTGTAGACTTCATATTGATTGTTTTCTTGGAGATTGGTTTGGCTTTTCTTTCTTCCTTCCTTCTCAACCTTTTGACTTCTGAATGGTTGTAGCAAAATTGCTCTGAAGTCTAGAAAAGCTATTGACCTCTACCCAGACCTTTTAGTCATGCTCCAGTACACAAGAGATCCCTCAAATGTTTCTGTTCTTGCAACTATTTCATCATTATTTGATTTTGGCACTTGTCTATATTGCAACACTTAAACCCCCCCTCCCCCCAAATTATTCTTAAAACTTGGAAGATCTTGGAGGTCTTCTAGTCCAACTCCCTGCTCAGGCAGCAAACTCTATACCATTTCAGACAAATGGTTATCCAACCTCTTCTTAAAAACCTCCAGTGATGGAGCATTCACAACTTCTGAAGGCAAATTGTTCCACTGATTAATTGTTCTCACTGTTAGGAAATTTCTTCTTAGTTCTAGGTTGCTTCTGTCCTGGATTAGTTTCCATCCATTGCTTCTTCTCCTGCCTTCCGGTGCTTTGGAGAATAGGTTGACCCCTTCTTCTTTGTGGCAGCCCTTCAAATACTGGAAATGTCAGCGTTCCAAGGAACACTCCTCACGCAGTAACACGGTTGTTAAGTGAATCCGGCTTCCCCGTTGACTTTGCTTGTCAGAAGGTTGTAAAAGAGGATCCCTATGACCCCGCCATAAATTTGAGTCAGTTGTCAAGTATCCAAATGTAACTCATGTGACCGTGGGGATGTTGCAACGGTCTTAAGTGTGAACAATGGCCATAAGTCACTTTTTTTCCAGTGCCGTTGTAACTTTTAACAGTCCCTAAATGAACTGTCATAAGTCGAGGACTACCTGTAGCATTTTTTTTTGCATACAATGAAAACTCCCCTTTCTCCTCCCTCTTGGTTTTTTTTTTTTTTTTTTAAAAAAACCCACTTCCCTGCTTTTTGCTGCTGCAGCCCTTTGCTTTGTAAATATGCCTTTTGCCTTCTTCTTTGCCTCGCTGTGGCCCTTCTTCCTTTTTCTTTGTTATTGTCTGTTGTCGGGTGTCGAAACGGCATGCTCTAACCTCTGCCATTAACCCACTTTTCAGCACAGGGACGGATTCAGCCACCTAGACGGGTTTTCTTCTCCTTCAGCATCTCTCCTCTCATTCCTAAGTCTAAAACTGTCTTTTCTGTTGACTCTTCTTCCAGTGATGAGGAGGAGAAGTTGGAGAGTAAGTATTCTTGTTCGGGGAAAAATGATTCTGCCGTTTGCTTAGTGCTCCGTGGAGAAGCTCAGAATCTCGCGTGGCTTCGTTGAACGTAAATGCTAGCTAGTTTAGCGGCTCAGTCTCAGCTGAATGGCTTGTCTTCCTCACTTGTCTTCCCTGCTGCTTGCAAATTCTAGCCAAAGTGCTTTTTCAGCTTACTTTCCTGTTGATAAATTTGGCCTACAAGGTTTTTTTAAGGTTCTCCTTTTTTCTTCATTTGGCCCCCCGGATCAATAAGGAATGTTATGGGGATATAGTACTCATGTGTAGGAATTGATGTTATGGTCACAGATTTGCCGTATCGTATCGTATCGTATTTTATTTATTTATTTGCATGTAGGAACTCCCAACTTGGACGCCACGCTGATGTGATTCTTCGTACTTGCTTGCGTTCAAAACTATTAAATTTTGCTACAGGCCAACTTAACCCTTAGATTATTTCGCATGAACAGGTATTCAGGAAAAAAAGAGAGCACTTTTAATGAAACGTGTAAATTCAGAAATATTAGAAGGGGCGTCCTCTGCAACTTATCCTTGAAAAAAAATAATAATGAATTTGTTGTGGTTGTTGGACAGTATTTTATAAATAAATATAAATGAATTATAAAATATAAATAAAGAAATATAAAGAAATAAAAGAAATAAATGTGAAAGGGAGATTTTAATCAGGAGATAAGCTCATTACTGGAGGTGGTTAAATCCTGAAATAATTAGGACAAACCCATGGGACACAAGTTAGTTGTTTTCCAGAGAGAGGTTTTTCCTAAAGCAATCCTTTCAAATCACCATTTAAAAATTGCCTTCCTCTAACGGCAGCAAGATAAAATCCTGTACCCTTCTTGTTATCCTTGCCTTTTGATGCCAGAACGTGAGGAAATAGTTAAGACAGTTTAAAACAACAACAACAAGAAGAAAATCAACTCTACAGTAAATGTAAACCAAGAAATACATGGTCATTTATGGCCAAGGAATAGACAAGGGGGGTTGGGATGATTTGAAGTAGTGAAGGATGTGCCATTGGGGGAGTGTTTGAAAATTGTTCCAATATAGTATAATTTGAAGGACCGAAATTCCAATTTGCATGGCACATCTTGAACCTACCTACAGTAACCTAAACCTTTTAAGCAAATAAAACAATTATAAGTTAATTTCAAAGGGAGGTGCGTAGTTCTTCGAATTGTGTCTCCGTGTGCATCACAATGTAAATATGTTATTGGAACATCTGCAGTAGGAAACTTCTGTTCAGATTCAGACAGCTTAAAAGGGCCACATGAATCCTTTAGGCTGAATTTCTTACCAGAAAGTAACCAAGGCAACTCCTTAGAACGTGCTTCTTTTGTCCTTTGCAAAGGTCTTAGTGTGATCTCCAACCTTTCTGCCTGGGTATAAAATTGACAAGAAAATCCTCCACACTCAAAAGATTTTGAATATTGCTGGCTTCAGCTTGCAGACTGTCCCCAGTGATTATCATAAATGTCCCAGCTACTAATTCAAGCGAGAGGATGTAATGCATGCTTGTTCCTATTTGACACCTTTCTCAAATCTATTTTTGCTGGGAAATGTGAAAGAAACTGTTTAGATTTCGAACCATGTTTCTACTTGTTCTTTTCACGGATTGCCCGAAATGACCAGAGACATCAACTTGGGAAGACTCTGAAGTATTGACTCTAGATGTGGTCCCATCAGCTGGTTCTCAAAATAACTATCTTCATAAAAAGAGAGGAGGAAATCAACATAACTGCTCATTTATAATCTTAATGAAGAGTATGGCCTTCTAGATATCATAGTCAACTGTTATCCTGCTAACACGTGTTGGATGAATTCAGAATCAAACACCATCTGGCACTGGTGACATTTTCTCCACCTTGTCATACTGGAACATATGTTTTAATAAAATTACATACAGGTATTACTATATATGTTTTGGTTTTGAATGATTTTTAACTCTACTTTTTTTCTCTTAATATTTTTGTAGGCATCCGATCCTTCAACAGCTCCTTGACTCAAAGGTGAACTTTTTATTAATCTCTTAAACATTCTCTAAATATAGTTTGTTGCTTTCTTGAATTCAACAAGAATTTAAACAAAAAGGACTATTGGTGGTGATGGTGGGTTTTATTTTATTTTATTTTAAAAAGGTTGATTTTTCTGTAAAAAAAAATTGGCCCAGTGATCAACTGATTGAAAAATTAAATCTACATATCTCGTAATTGTAATCAAAAAGCTTGTCAAATTTACTAGTTTCAGGTTGATCAAGGTATACGTATTGGGTTTCAAAAATTTTTACTACTGGTTCTGTGGGCATGGTGGGAGTGGCTTGGTGGGAGTGGCAGGGGAAGGATACTGTAAAATCTCCATTCCCACCCCAATCCAGGGGAAGGTTACTGCAAAATCCCCATTTTCTCCCGATCAGCTGGGACTCCGGAGGCAGAGAATAGATGGGGGCAGGGCCAGTCAGAGGTGGTATTTACTAGTTTTCCTAACTACTCAAAATTTCCGCTACCGGTTCTCCAGAACTGGTCAGAACCTGCTGAAACCCACCTCTGGTATAAAAGATCTGTATTGCAGAAAAAGAAGTATTGCTGTGCAATCAAGATTGAGAACTGATCACAAAAGCAATTGATTGATTGATTGATCAAGAGCCACTTTCAGTCTTTAAGAGGCATATGAGAGACCATATTCTAAAAATTGGGTAAAATGGCTTTGGCGTGATTTAATTGTACTTAAAATGAAATACATTTGTTCTGCAGGCAGTAATTCCTGCACATATGAGAACATATGGGGACTGAGCCTACCTGTGAGGGGTGGGTAGGAAGCATTTGGCTTGCAGCAAAGTTTGGTCCTTTCTCCTTAAAATAGTTTCTGTATCTTTAACTTGCACACTAGGCAGGTTCAAATGAAAATGCTGTGTCTCCAACTTGAAACAGATGAGTTCTTGTGCATTGATTGAAATGTTTTATCTCTTGGCTTTTAGCATCAGCGAGGAGAGTGGCAGTTTCCAACCCCCCAGCCCCTCAAGAAAAGATTTGGAAGCCAAAAGTGGAACGAAAGTCAGCCGTACATTCAGCTACCTCAGGAATAAAATGTCCAGCAGTAAGAAGAGCAAAGTAAGTAGACCCAGGAGTTGTGCTTCCAAGACGGGATCAGGGATGTTTGTCATTATGCTTATTTATTTATTTTATTTATTTATTGGAATTTGTCAAACAAAAACAAGAACAAGAGAATAAAAATACAGTGACAGGGAGGGACAATAGGCATGTTACCTATGTAAAACTTCATTCAGTGCTTTGCTAATAAAGGAGGCAAGCTGGTGTAAACAGAATGATTATTGTCTGATACTAGACATACATAAAATGGAAGCCTAGATGAATCTCTTGTTCTAGAGTCTGACTTTTATTTCCTGAAAATCTAATCAAATTGGGTATTAGCTAGAGAAAGAAAAAGTCCTAGAAAATCTCAACATCCAACCAAGTTCATAAAAAATAAATAAATCCATTAAGGTTCTTGGTCCTTAGCCAGGGAAAACTTTCTAGGCCATTAACATTTTGAAATTCTCCCAGAATGACCACCACAATGTTGGCGACTGTCATCTTCTAACACCAATATTGAAGTAGAATCCTGGAGCAACATATACAACATACACATACGCATCCTATCTTTTTTACATCAAGTTCAGAACATGCTGTAAGATCTAATGCAAGCATGGATTCTACCACTGAACTACTGCCAGCTCAAAAGATGCACATAAGCAACTCCTAAAGCAGTAGATTGGTTTCTCTGAGTCTTGGTTTAGATAAACATGATTTATTAAGCAAACTGCTGTTGGCTGTGTTAACATACTACTCTAAAAACAAACAAAACAAACAGTATTATGATTTATCTGAACCCAATCTTATCAGTATAGTCTATTATTGTTTATCTTGACTGGCAGTAATGTTTAACCTGAGCTTCAACTCTGGGCTTGTCCTACTTTGCAACCAACTTTTGTTGAGATTATATCAGAATGGGCAAATTTGAGGAAACGGTTTTGCTTCTGCTATCCCAAAAGTTCAGCATGTGATATCGTCTTTCTGGGGAGAGTCCACCGCCCGTCTGCATCAAACAACTGCTGGTGCTCACTGCAACTTTTTTGGGTTTAAGTGGTCATTTTGGGGTTTGGAGGGTGGCTGTTGGCATTTGAATTCCATCATCCTTTGCATCATGATCTGAGTCAATTTGCAACATTTGCATAAGTGAGGTCATTCCATCACAAGGGGACTGATAAGGATTATGTAAATTGCACACATCAAATCAGGGCCTCCCAACACACAACCCTCACTGTATTCTAAGTTGTCTGAAGAGGCAGGTGTCTTGATCGACACACAGCCAAGTCACGGCTACAACAGTGCTTTAGTGAAGATCAATGGGAAAAAGGTTTTCTATAGAACCCTTCAATTTCATTTTGTGTGTTTTGTACGTGTTCAGAAAATACCACACTCTCCTGTTTGTACTCAGAAGATGAAGTGTCAAGTGTGGGCTGAAAGTAGCTTGTTCTTCTGAGAAGTGGTGGGAGGAAAATTTTGTTTGGCAAGAACACTTTAGAAGTTTAGAAAACCAGACCATTGCAATAGACCAGAGACTTCTTCTTTGTTAGAGGTAGATGTTTCCCATCCACTATGATTGCACAGCTAGAATTAGAATCTTGTTTATAAGATCTTTCTTCTCTTTACTGTGATTCTAGACAGCACTGCAACTTAAAAAAGATATTGAGATTCTAGAAAGAGTGCAGAGAAGAGCCACAAAGATGATTAGGGGACTGGAGGCTAAAACATATGAAGAACGGTTGCTGGAACTGGATATGTCTAGTCTTATGAAGAGAAGGATTAGGGGAGACATGATAGCAGTGTTCCAATACCTCAGGGGCTGCCACAAAGAAGAGGGAGTCAAGCTATTCTCCAAAGCTCCTGAGGGCAGGACAAGAAGCAATGGATGGAAACCAATCAAGGAGAGAAGCAACTTAGAACTAAGGAGAAATTTCCTGACAGTGAGAACAATTAAATCAGTGGAACAATTTGCCTGCAGAAGTTGTGAATGCTCCAACACTGGAAATTTTTAAGAAGAGATTAGATAACCATTTGTCTGAAGTGATGTAGGGGTTGGACTAGAAAACCTCCAAGGTCCCTTCCAATTCTGTTATTCTATTCTATTCTATTCTATTCTATTCTATTCTATTCTATTCTATTCTATTCTATTCTATTCTATTCTATTCTTTTAAAAAAGCTTTTTTTTAAAGAAATGCTTTTTCTGAAAAAGTAGCATACTTTTATTGTGATCATCATCACTATAGAGGCCATCTTTATATTTAAAAACAAAATCAGCCAAAGACCCCTTTGGATAATCAGATTAAAATGCAAAAGAACTTCCTAAAGTTCTGACTTTCGCATCCTAGACAGAAATCTCCTCCTTTTCCCCCAATATTCAACAAGTGGAGATACTCTTCATCTCTCATTTCTAAAAAGGAAAACAAATTTTTCATGAGAAAATTTATTTTATTTGTTTATATTTTTATTTATTTAAGGTATTTATATAGCCACGCATCCTTCCGAGAAACTAGGGGTGAAATCCAGCAGGTTCTGACAGGTTTTGGAGAACCGGTAGCAGAAATTTTGAGCAGTTCAGAGAATCAGCAAATACCACCTCTGGCTGGCCCCAGAGTGGGATGGGAATGGGGATTTTGCAGTATCCTTCCTCTGGAGTGGGGTGGGAATGGAGATTTTGCAGTATCCTTCCCCTGCCATGCCCACCAAGCCACACGCACAGAACCGGTAAAAAAAAAAAAATGATTTCACCACTGCGACAAACCCTGGGCATCTCCCAATAAAAGTCCAATCCGTCAAATCCTTAATTCAGTCTTTACTCGATGGACTTATATGTCATTGTGGAACACCAGTTTTGAAGAAATCTGTTTTGATGTATCATCCTTTTTTTTTTGGAATGGTTACAACACCGCTTGACAATTGTGCAAGGGAAACTCACCGCTTGTGGGCACCCATTTAAATTTTATGAGTGTTTTGAAGTTCCTCTGTCTGTGGCTAGATCAAATAGCCTGAACAGCAATTGTCTCCATTTCAAAGCATCCTTTCCTATGCAGCTCCCATTTTTCTTGATTTGGGTAGATTTTTATTTTGGAGAGAACATTCAGTAAACCAGAACAAATAATCTTCAGGACACAGTTTTTTAGATGTACAGTCTTCTTTCAGTCATCTTCTCTGATGGCATAGCTTTTCAACCACTTCAAGGATGAAGAGAAATATGTAGACTATGGCTATCCAACTGTTTTGCTTCCATGGCCTGCATTAAGTGAAAAGGAATTGTCTTGGGCCCCATAATATAATATACAGTATAGTATAATATAGACCTAAACCAGGGGTCTACAACCTTAAACACTCAAAGAGCCATTTGGACCCATTTCCCACAGAAAAGAAAACACCGGGAGCCACAAAACCCTTCCCGTGCCTGATTATTTCTTGAGCGGCCACAAAACTAGCATATGTAGTTGAATGAAATGTTCTGTTTTCTTCTGAAACTTTTCTTTTCTTGGATTTATCCATGGTTGGCCTACTGGGGGTTGAAAAGCTCAATAAATTGCATGCCAGTGGGTATCGCACATTGGCAGTTGTGACGCATATTTTGAGTGACAGGGAGCCGCAGCAGAGGAGTGAAAGAGCCACAGGTTGCAGACCCCTGACCTAAACAATATCTGCATACTTTTTATTTATTTCATATGGCATAACAGAATACAGCATTAGTGCATAGAATTCACAAAATCAGCATGTAAAATGTGCATCAAAATATGAAACACCAGTACAGTGAATTATTTTAAAGACGTACAATACAAGTGATGAATAAAATGATGAATAAGATTAAATTATGTATGAGCAGTTACTGGAGTGCCTAAGCTGTGACCGGATATGTAGATCGCTTAGCCATTGGACAGCAATGCCCTTGATCTGATTTTAGCCATTGGACAGCAGCACCCTCAAGATGATGATCTACATACTGATGTGTCCAGATGTGCTGAGGCTCAAATCCCAGAACATCAACCCAGGATTTTGAAAATTGCAAAGGGCCGATACAAAAAACACTGTATGAGCTGAGATTATGCCCCTTTGGCAAGGGCCATTGACCGTAATAAAGATTGATTAGCTGAAAATTGCAATGCCAACATACCTCCAAGGGAAGACCACTGGAGTGACAAACCCAAATAGGTCTCCAAAAATCTGTCTTGTCCAAATCTTGGTTGGGGGAGAATTTCAACTATTGGTTTCTATTTTTGACTGGCACCCCTCTCTCCCCTATTTCTGGATTCTGCTCTAGATCCAGAAGTTCTCCATTCTCCGTGTTTAGGGGATTAGAATGGAGTTTACCTTTCTCGCCCTGGAAAGGAGATTTTTTTCCCACCTTAAACTGTTGCCTACAGATTTTTCTTAGATGTGTGGAAGGTATTTAACTTTCCTCGTTGTCTTCTTTTTTTTTTCTTTTTTCGTTTTTGTCTAAAATAGATAGAAAAAAAGATCTTGAAAGAGGAAGCAAAACAGGAAGTTTCTAACTCTGCTAGTACTTCTGCCGCCTTAAAAACACAGATGTTTAAGTCATATAAATGAATCTCTCTCTCCAGGAAGACACGCATGAACCATCGCTGCCTCTTCTGTTTTAGCATTCAATACTTGAAAATGCCAATTAGCAAAGATTATGAGAAAAGAGGGGAAAAAAATATCTTTAGCACCTCCATGTGTTGTTTCCCAAGTGTCTTCCCCCCTCCCAAGTCTTTTGAGTCCCTTGAATAGCCCAAGGGAGCTTCAGCTGTGACATCTCCAGGGCCTGAAGGGTTAATCTGTTCTTTGAGGAAGCTCAGAAGAAGCAGCTCTTCCTTCTCTCCTCCCCTCAGCCTTCTCTCTTGCTCAACTTGTTTCTGACTTCCTTTTATGACAGCAGGCTGAGCAGCTGAACAGAATCCGTGCTTTTGGGGTTTGTTTTATCTCTAACGTGATGGATGGATAGGTGTTGGGCAGATTGTCTTGCACGGAAGTTGGGCAGCATGTCCCTCAAGTGGCATCGGTTTTCCGAC